AAACGCCAGAATTATTTATTTCCGAGGTAAGCAATATTTGGTAGTATTAATTAAAGTAATTATAATATTTAATTTGACACTGTATTTTATTAATAGCTCAGAAATCATGCCAAGTGTACATATGATTATTTTTTCCTTAATATTTATGGAGTCACACAAGACTCAGAAACAAAAGAGTACATGATTGTTATGCAATATGCTAATAATGGTTGTCTTTTGTCTTATTTGGATCAAAATATTAACAAATTGACGTGGAGGATGAAATTAGATTATTTGAGGGATATTGCAAATTATCTGGATAGTATTCATTGTGCAGGATTAGTACATTGTGATCTTCATGGGGGAAACATAGTTTTGGATGGTAATAATCCATTAATATGTGATCTTGGTCTCTCACGATTAGCGAATTCACGCGAGTCAAATTCAACCATTCGAGGCGTTTTACCCTTTATTGCACCGGAGGTCTTCCATACCTGCAAATTTACTCAGAAATCAGATGTGTATTCTTTTGGTATCATTATGTATTTGATTGCTACTGGTGAACCACCTTTTAGAAATAGGCAGTTCGATAGAGATTTAGTATGCGATATTATGGGCGGACTACGACCATCGATGCCTGATTCCGCACCAGAGGAATACAAGAAACTTGCCGAGCGGTGTTGTGATGCTGATTCTGATAAGCGTCCAAAGAATAGAGGGACACTTTTGGGTGATATTCGCAAGCTTATTGAAGAAGTGGAAAACGACAATTCTGACATATGGAATGCCGTTTATTATAATGATGTAAAACCCTTATCACGTCTCGAGAAGGAGAGTAAATATTCTAGTACGCTCTTACCTACTGGAGATTTGCCTAAACCGATAAATAGCTACGATTTGGATTCAGCTGCAGGTATGAAGACAACAATTCGTTATGGGTAAAGTCAATTTATAATATTAACATTGTCACTGCTTATGATTTAGTGACTCAAACGCTCTTTGAATAAATTTGTAACTCGCGGTTTATTTACAGTTTATACGGTCTTACTCAACCTCTTTCAATTGAATAAATTAAATACGATATGCTTCCATATATGTTAATATGGGTTGAGTTAAAATAAAATCGTGCACGTTTACTGAAGATGTAAGCAAATATAGCGAGTACATTATTTAAAGTTTATGAAACTGGTAGTGAGTTCGTTCCTGAATAAAGTGCGTAGCTACATTCGAGCTCTATTCGCTGGACGGTGAAGCTTCATTGTCAATTTCTGCACCGGCCGGACGATGACCCATGCAGTCGGTCAACTCTTCACTGTAATTGCCTTCATTTGAACATTGGATAATGGTATTTAAAACGTGATAGTCACTTGGTGACTAAAACCTTAGTTCATTCCACTGCTTATCGATGATATTACGCAAATCAATCCACTCATATCCGTACTCTTGTTGCATAGCCTTGACGCGCGTAACGATGCAAGTTTAACGGATCCACAACACAAATAAAACTTGCCATACACAAATGTGCCATCTATATGTGTGCCAAGAACTGCTCTGTCATCATATCAACCGTGCGAAATAACGTTTGCCATTCCCAACCTGTCTGAGCATATACTAGCTAATTGCAACAATACGAGCACCCATAATTCAATGATTTATTCAATATCTCGGATCGAATAAGTATGGAAAGGTGACGCTAACGAGTTCTGACGTCTTTGCGTTGATGCACCTGTACGTCGAGCATAATTCTACTTCGACACTTGAGCGGTTGTCCGAACCCTCATGTGACCAGAACCAACGCACACACTTTTAAAACAAGTTTCGAATGGTGTATTCTATCTATTCTCGTGCCTTTAATCTATAGAAAAAGAAGAAAAAAATTAACAAAAGAAGACAAATTCATAAAAACCCGACGCGAGAATTACCGCAATGTGTATTGCAATGAACTTTTATTCATAACAAGGTGGTCGCTAAATGAATTACTGCAATGTACAACTTGATGGTCGCTCTAATATCATAGCCCATCCATAAAGTAAGCAAGTGTCCTGACGTCCGAAGCAATTTAGCAGGAATATGTCATTCATAATATATGGAATCCTGCTTTCCAATCTATCCATTACAAAGGATGACGTTACTGGAAATGTAAAACCATTTTAAGGAAACGGCCCTTGTTGAAAATTATCACAATCTTTTTTATTAAATTTTTCTACTACAGTCAAACATCGGTATAATATCGAAAATTCACTATTAAGTGGCATAATATTTCACTATGTTGCGACTGGCAATTCTTATAATAATAAATGACTCAAACACTATTTCAACTTTATTTCCATTGACAAGATTATTAAATCTAATACTGCTGAACAATTTATATGAAATCTACTGGTACTATGTTGTTTAGCGTAGCAAGTTGTCATACCGTTCAATATGTAGTAAGGATGCTTTTCAGTTCTTTCTTGCTTATGATGGTCTAGTATTTAGATCAAGTGACGACCATCTTACCTTATCACGTAGAATATTATCGAATTGCTTCTATTGTAACTTGGATAACAAATGACATATTTCAGCTTTCTGGACACCGGACAAACTTCTTCCCTCTGAATTGGCTTTTTTTCTTCTCTTTATAGCGTCTCTGTTTCTTCTTTATTAGCTTCATGCTGTTAAAATTCTTTCACTTTTATTATAACACGTGTTATATTTTTGTTGGTCAGGTGGTACAATCTCACTAATGTCGTTTGAGAAAAAACTTTACTATATCTGATAACGAGAATTTACTATAATAATACACAAGAAATTGCAATATGTTATCTAAATAATAAAAATCACGAATTTACCTAAGCCGATCTTTATCACGAAAAATGTTACGCGACTCAATTTAATCCACATATAACTTTCCGCACATTTATACTAATTCAAAGCGCAAAAACAAAAAAAGTTATCAAATTGCTCAAATATCTTGCTTTCTGTTGATAACCTAAAATCCATTTGCAGTCCTGTCGTAGATGAAAAACATTTGCTTGCAAGACAAGATATCTAGTTTATTTGCCGTTATTTTATTTATGAACATGTTCCGGCAAGTATATTTCCGAATTACAACATTAAAATCGATTATTTAGACAAGTTTGGAAACAAAATAGATATACGCTAAAATAGTGATGGGAATGCAATCATAATCATAGGGGGAAGTAAGTAGATTAGTATTAGCCCCAACAGTCGATTACGAACATCTTCAGCTGCTATGCAGGGACCGATTTTTATGTCAGCCTTGTACAGTCTAGTAGTTAATATGGTGCCAATGATGCTTTCATGAAGCACAGACTTTTAGATTAGGAAAGTGTCATCATTCAAGTGACGGTGTCCCTAATTTGTGTCGTCATTCAGTCTAATAAACAATTCTATAGACATTCATTTTGTAAGCCTTTCTATAAGTGTATTCTTGCAATGCCAAACTATACATTGAAAGAGTTAGACTCTTTTCCAGTAGGCAATCAGGAATAGAACCAGAAACATCGTCAGCAGAGCGTAATTATACGTAACCCCGTACAGACACTAACTGAGGAAAGCGGTTAGCATATCAGTAGTAAGAATGAAAATTCGAATAGGAGCTAATTGTCAAGTGTTGTGTACAATGCCAAAGTTACAATAGGATACATTAATGAATAATGTGCCCTGACAAACAATTCTATAGAATATATATTCCTTTCCAGTTAAACCGGGGGGCCTGTAATAGTGACATAATTTCATTAAAACCTTTAAAACCAATTGTTTATTTGAAAAAACCGCAAGTCATAGACGTGATTGTTTAAATAAGGAAATTATCGGCACGTAACAAAGTTAGTGGTATGTGATATTTCTCCTGGATATTATAAGTGTCTATCCCATCATAGGAAAATAGTATCCTTGATATATTGATGTATAAACGCAATAATTATGATATTCGCCATATGAAGGACACAAGAGACGGGGATGGAGATATCGTGAATGTACTCGGCACGACAATTACGTCTTTGCCCCTATTATATAAGTCACTTGATATCGATTTCTCACGGTGTTTATTCTCACGACTATTTTGTGATGCCACATAACTTTAACATATTTAACATTATTGACTTGGGAGATCCGGGTAAGGTAGACCTCCTCTTTAGCGTTAGTACACTGTACGACGCTTTGATAAAAAGTTTACCAAAATATGAAGCCAAAAAAATGTATCTATTGTTATTAAGGGAATCACGATCTAGATTCCAAAAAGCTTGCATTGTCTTGTGCTTCTCTCTTCAACAACAGAACCTTGTTTATTTCGTTTGATCTGTCTAATATTTTGATAACTATTACAGGATATTCCCTCCCGATATTTTTAAGTACAATTTTCGTCCGACTTGAAGAACATGTACTGCCCCCCTTTTCCCCACCAAACATGACCGATTTGTATTACATGCAAAAAGTCACGCATTACCAAATCTTGGGATCACAACCTAAAAGTATGTATAGAGAATCAATCATTGATCAGTTTAAAATTATCACTGTTCTGTGGGGCTTTGACACTTTCATTCTTTTCAAAACTAAGCCTTTCTACCTCACACACACACTCTCTTGCTTTCTCTTGTTATGAGGCATATCCTCAATAAGACACTCGTTTTCTATAGACTAAACTTTCACACATATCAACAAACAAATATTAATTCCTAAACATTTCAGGCAGCGAATATCCTCCCCTATTCTACTTTCATAGTAGGGCGCCAGCTCATAAATAGTTTTGTATTGTAGTTATATATATAATTCCTTACTAATTAGACAAGGAACACATATTCGCGTGTCTATTTTTATTTATATTATTGATAAAGGGGGAAGGTATATATATAAATCCTATCATTCCACAAACTGACACTGTCACAAGAGTAGAAAGCTTGTATAATATCTACAATAGATACAAAGCAGATTACATATACAGAATCAACAAGCATCTGCAGTATATCATATCTCAGAACACTCAAAATGGACAAATCAACCGTCTCTCCACAAATCAATCAAGATTCCGTATACACCACTTCATCCAGCTCAGACGAAAGCGATGACAACCGCTCACGCTTTCTGTCCACATCGACAATATCCTTTCGTCCAAGCCACCACCAATCACTTGCACGCAGGGCGTCTACTTCTTCAATTAGCTCATACGCGTCATCGTCATCCTTGTACTCACCTCCCCAAACACCAACCTCTTCTTCTCTTTCCCCATCGCCGTCCCAGTTTCAATCCGATCTAACATCTCACACCCATCCCACATCTCACACCCATCCTACTTACCAATCCCTCGGCTCATCAGGGCTGAGTGCACACAATTGGACTCTGTCCGGTGGCTTCACAACGTCTGGTCGTTGGTTTAGGGATTCTCTTGGTCGGACATGTTTGCTTCGGGGTGTGAACATGTGTGGTAACTGCAAAAGCCCAATGAAAACGTCTAGCAGTGGCCATGCAACCGACGAATTTTTTGATCATCGGAATGTGTCATTTGTTGGAAGGCCATTTCCGTTGGAGGAGGCTCATGAACATTTCGCAAGATTAAGATCTTGGGGGTTGACTTTTGTACGACTTCTTGTACCTTGGGAGGCCTTGGAACATGCTGGACCGTAAGTGATTCGAATCTAATATCAGCCAAGTTTAAACTTTAGAATAAGAACACTAAATTTGGCTCCTAGGGGGATGAGTGATCAAATCATTCGCCAGTCGCAATTTTGGCAATGTCATTTTGTCTTTAGGTCCCATCAGTAATCATTTGTTCTTTCTTTCTTTTCTTTCTTTAGCGGTAACTATGATGAAGAATATATCGACCACTTAGTAAGCATTATCGAAATGATGCCTCGATATGGAATAAAGTGCTTTATTGACCCACATCAAGACACTGTAAGTCGAATTTGATTAATCGATCAAGCTATTCCGCAACCTTCAACTCATTGTCTCTCCCCTTCTTCCCTCCTGTCTTTAGTGGTCTCGCTTCTCTGGTGGGTCAGGCGCGCCAGGATGGACATTTGAGGTTGCTGGCCTTGACATCACGAAATTTCAAGCAACCGGTGCTGCTCACATCCATAATTCTCAATTTCATAACGATCATCTCGGACCGGGGAGCTCGCAGCCCATGGTTTGGCCCACAAATTACACCAAGCTTGCTAGCTCCACGATGTTTACGTTGTTCTGGAGTGGAAACACATTTGCGCCGGAACTGAAATACCAGGGAAAGCAAGTGCAGGACTTTTTACAAGATTGTTATTTGAACTGTTATTCGCATTTGGCAGAGTAAGTAAGAAATGGCACTGACGAGACTTGGTGGTAGCATAGTGACAAAAGTGTTTAAAAGGGGCCGTACTCGAGGACGGTTACTGAGGATCGGTATTTTTGGTTATGCTGTTTAGACTCATGATGTTGAATTAGCTAATGGCTTATTTTCTAATACTAATGACATTACATTGAAATTTAGACGAGTCCAACAGTTAGAGGCTGTAATCGGATTCGAAGTTATGAATGAGCCGCAGTGAGTAATGCTGACCAAGTTGGATTTAATTTATATCGTCCCGATACTAAATACCAAACCACTTTTTTTTTTGTTCTTTCCTCAGCCAAGGCTACATAGGTCTAGTCGATTTGACACGTTACAGCGCGGTCCATACACTAGTCTTTGGTGATTCTCCATCCGCTTTCCAATCGTTCACATTAGGGGACGGCATTCCAACAGAAATTGAAGTCTGGATCAGGTCTTGGCCATATCCGACGCGCAAACATTCCACCCGAGTCGTCAACACCGAATGCGAGTCTGCCTGGCTTAACCGTCGCCCATGTGTATGGCGTCAGCATGGCGTCTGGGATGTAGACGAAGCAACAAAAAATCCAGTTCTTTTACAGAAAGAGTACTTCACAAAAGATCCAAAAACGGGAAACCCTGTAGAGTTTTATAAAGATTTTTATTTGCCGTTTGTTAATAAATATATAAAGGCCATACAGAGTGTGAAAGAAAGTTATTTGGTTTTCGTTGAACCTCTGCCCAATGAGGTATGTAAAGGGAGAATAATGGGGTCATGTGTATATTGTTACTGATTATGTCTGGTGATGGGTCGTGTTAAACCGTGAAATGTATAATAGCTCGCTCATCCACACAAACAAAATTTCATTGTATTATTTTATATCGTATTCATTGTTTCGTTCCTTTCCTTTCTTTCCCATTTCCATATCTAGCCACCTCCAGTCTGGACTCCAACGGATAACTCCCATAATGTCATCTACGCTCCGCATTGGTATGATCTAAAATCCGTCTTCAATAAGGCATTCGATGGATTGATCACTCATGATGTTCAAAGCCTAAGCAAAGGGAAAAATGTCATATCTGCTACTTACTTTGGACTCAAAGGCGCCAAGAATAATTACACCGGTCAAGTGAGAGATACAGTAAATAAAGGGTTGATTAATGTTGGAGAGAAACCATGCGTCATAGGGGAATGCGGGATACCAATGGACATAAATGAGAAAAAGGCTTTTGAAACAGGAGATTATACGCATCATAGCAACTTTTTGGACGCCGTTTTGTGCGCCATGGAGAGAAATCTTGTTAATTTCACGTAAGTAACGGTACAAGTTGATGGCTTTAACGCACATAGACCGTAATTAATAACGTATTCATTTGCTTCAGCCTTTGGAACTATAATCCAACAAACGATAACACGTACGGCGACCACTGGAATGGAGAAGACTTTTCCATCTACTCTCCTCTGCCAAAATCCAAGACAAACAATTCCACTACTCAAACAATAACTATTACAGCCACTCCAATATCAGCAGATGATAAGAAAATGACAAAACACAGGCCAGCTAAAAAAGAATTGAAAGTGCAAACGATGTTTGAGAATGAGAGAGAACAAAGACAGGAAAGAGATGCAGATAATAAATATGGAACAGAAAAGAGTCCTACTAGTCCGTTCGAGTTGATGCAGGTACATTTTTGGGATCAGGAGGATGAGAACGACGAGGATCATTATCATCATATTGGAGGAAGAGTGTTGGATGCCGTGTTGGTAAGTGTAAACAAGAAAGTAATGTCGAGTTGGTGGTTACTGCCGTGTCATGACTTGCTGTTCTTACTCTTTATTTCATTTCCATCTTTGCCTAATGATCGATGATCGATTACGTTAAATCAGCGTCCTTATGCATCAAAAGTCCCTGGTATACCTCAAGTAACCCATTTCAACCTTCAAACTCTCGAATACAAGTTCCAGTTCACCAACTACCCACAAGGAACACACCCATTTTCTTCCGTCTCACCCTCACCCTTACCCTCACCCGAAGTCGAAATTTATATACCCAATTATCACTACAAGCAACTCCATCTCGACATCCGCGTCTCGGATGGTGACTGGCGATATGTCAGATCGCGTCAGACTCTGTATTGGAGAGTCAAGGACTGGACGACTGAAGGCATTGAGCACAGTTTAAGGATCAGGATTGTAAACAATAATAATAAACAACAGGGGATGGGAAATTGGACTGTGGATGTATGGAATGTTTGGGGCCTGAGAATGGTGACGGTAGTCATTGTAATATTTATTAGCATCTTTTTGGGTATTTTTATTGGTGAGAATTGTAACGATTGGATAATGTCTAGATGGGCGCGGCAGGGATCAGTTTTATTGATGTGAGGAGCATGCGTTTAATTAGTTGTGTGATTGGGTTGCTTTTTCTTAAAAAATTGACATAATATACCAGGTAACAACGAAAAGCAAAATGACAATGCTAACGTTTTTGCATGGTTTGAACAATTTCTGTAGTGTATCATTGTTCTAAATGAAGTCATTATGACAATTATTTATTAGATAAATTTTAGAAAGTGACCAATCAATAGAAAGCTTTTATACATAGTCTTCTTTTTATTTCAAACAAAATCAAGAGCAAGCTAGCTAATAAAGTCCGCACAAACGGATATCGAGTCAATGTAATGTTCGAGAGGAATGCGATTGGTTTGGTTATTTCTTGCCCCTCCGATTTTAATATCCTCGAGAGAACGCATCTTGTTATACAAGTTGTTCTTACGAAATATGGTGACGATTTACCGAGAATGTGTCATTTTTTGGTAAGATGCAAATAACGTTGGAGGTGTGTGCGAATGTACTACATAATTTGTTTATCGTTCCCTATTATGATGATCGGCAGACTCTGAGTGAACTTTTTTCCCTACGGTTTTTTGAGTTATGGGTACATATAAGAAGAATATTTATCTGACAGGCGAAGGTCGATCGTGAGTTGTTAATAAGAGGATATTGCATTCACTTGGTAAAAAAATGTGTGATTCTCAGAATAATCGGCTAATTTCGTATCTAGTCCTTGGTACAGGTATCGTGCATTAAGATGTCTTTCTAGTTGTTCGTGATTTAGGAAACGAATCATTTATTGATTGCAGAAGCGTCGATTCAATAGACAAGATGGGAAGAATTTTACGCCATATCTCATTGCAGTAGCTGGTAAGTGACTGGATGCCATGTTCTTTAACATAATTATCTCGGTCCATTATCTTTACTTTTTGCACTTGCTCAATAAAGGTGGGAGTGCCAGTGGTAAAACCAGTGTTGCCAAGTAAGATTCCCCAACGTATTCTTCATAGATGCATGCTTTGCATGTTAACTGTTCTATTTATCGCAGGAGAATAATCAAAAATCTCAACGTCCCGTGGGTTGTACTGCTGAGCATGGATTCATACTACAAGCCACTTTCCCCCGAACAACTAGATTCTGCCATGAATAAGTAAGCGCGGTTGAGAGTACTGAATTACGCTTGTTTTTATATACTTATTTTATTCCGCGTTTATTGTTTGTCGACCAAGTGATTACAATTTTGATCATCCCAACGCATTCGATTACGAGATGCTAGCACAAACTTTAAAAGATCTCAAAGAAGGGTAATTTTTATTCACGTTACCTGTTGGTACATTTCATCGTTATGTTCATTTGCATGGCGTTATGACATTAATTTGTCTCAACAATGGGAACCGTAGGAAGCGAGTAGAGATACCTATCTATGATTTCACAACCCACTCTAGACGCCCAGAGACATCAACCGTTTATGGCGCCAACGTTGTTATCTTTGAAGGCATTTTTGCTTTATACGACAAAACCATCACAGATCTTATGGATTTGAAGGTGCATGCCTCTATTGTCTGTAACTTTTTTTATTCAAGTGCGCGACTTGTTTCTAAAGGCGAACTATGGCTTTAGATCTTTGTGGATACCGATGCTGATATTCGGTTGGCTAGAAGATGTAAGCAGGAATCAGTAGCTATATATCGTCCATCTGCTTGTAAAACAATTTCTGAAGACAGTATACGAGAAGATTTTATATAATATTTATTCCATGAAATTTTATAGTAAAACGAGACATAAACGAGCGTGGACGTGATATCCATGGTGTACTCAAAGTGAGCCGAGTTATGAATTGGCAAAGTCGAACGCGCAATCGTATTAAAGTAGTTCTATTATTGTGATTCAGCAATACGGACGGTTTGTTAAATCATCGTTTGATGACCATATTCTCCCAACAGTAAAGAATGCAGATGTGGTACCTGTAATCTTCCTACAGTCTCATATTAAGCAATCTCTTTTTTTTTTCCTTCACGCTAACGCGCGTTTGTATTCCTAGATTATTCCGCGAGGGTTGGAGAACCATGTTGCAATAGAGCTTATTACAAAGAACGTCCAGAAGCAATTGGCTGAGCGCAAGCTAAGCTTTCGATGGGATTTGGCAAGGATAGAGTATGATGACGACATACCTGAAAACGTGATTTTGTTGAAAGCTACGCCTCAATTAAAGGTATTTAAGCATATTTGTTATCCGCGGAATTATAGCAGTTATGCTGACACAAGTTTTTTAGGGAATACATACTATCATTCGTGATTGTACCACAGCGCGAGATGATCTTATCTTTTACACTGAAAGGCTTGCAACGCTCGTGGTTGAAAGGTAGCGTAAAGTGTATATATTTCGTGTATAGAGATGTTACTTTTGAAACGGGCTGAATATATGTTTTTGATTATATTACCTGAAGGGGTCTGGCAGAGCTGCCTTTTCGTCACCGTAAAGTAACAACACCCCTTAATATTGTGTGCGATGGCAAGGCCTTGGATGCTCAAGTATTATTATTCAACTGTTTTAAATTTCCTGCAATGTCCTTCACCGGCTAACGTGTTACATCGACTCTAGATCTGCGGAGTATCTATCCTTCGTGCTGGTGGTACTATGGAGACAGGCCTCCGTCGAGCCATAAAAGATGCACTCATAGGAAAGATGCTGATTCAATCTGATCCTCAAACTGGTGAGCCACAGGTAAAGTGAAAATCAATAGTATTTGCTGGGCGGAAGCGCATGCATGTTTGCTAATCTTTTTGACTATAGTTACACTACATTAAGCTCCCATCTACTATTAATCAATGTCATGTGTTTCTTATGGTAAGAATTATTAGACAAGTTATGCGTTTATTATAGACTGTATAAATTTAACCCAACGATTTTCTTATAGGATGCACAAATTGCAACGGGCGCGGCTGGTCTGATGGCTATTCGAGTTTTATTGGATCATAATGTACCAGAAGTATGAAATATTTATATTATTGCGTCTCCCATTTTTATACTTTTTTGGAAATACTGCTAATATACGTCATTATAGGACAAAATTATTTTCTTGACATTCCTTGCTACTATACAAGGTTGGTCTGTTCTTTCAGTCATCCATATGCATTTTTTGATGATTCACGTCTATAACATTACATGTAAAAACAGGATTACATACAATTTCTAAGGCCTTTCCGAAAGTCAAGTTGTGTACTTCGATGATAGACCCCAAAGTCAACGAACACACACTTTACATTGAACCTGGAATGGGCAACTTTGGAGGTATGAGAATGGTATCTAACCATTTCTGCATAAATGTTAATAACTAATAATTTGTTGTTTGCGCAGATCGGTATTTTGGTACAGAGCCTTAATATTAGAGAACGTACAATGCAGTCTTCAACATTGATTGCGACCAAGTATATTAATTAACAGTATTAGCATACAAGTCTTACAATTATCTTTATTGCATATTGCCTCGACAAACACTATAAGAACACTTTTGCAATTCAATGCTAATAATAAAGATGGACGTACTTAGTATGGTTGTTGTGTCACATTTTGCATTGTTATACTTTACAGCATCATCCAATACTTTAAATGGTAATGCTTCCGTATTAGTATTAGCATTGATCAATGCACCTGCCAATGGCTATTATAGTAATACAAAGTTACGTAGTATTCCATCAATGCCATTCAAATGGTAGTCTGCTGCCAATACTTTAAATCCTTATGATCACAAAAATTACATTGTTTTTCAGAAAATGTTATCAAAGCCACCTCAGTAATATAACTTCTTGTGTTAATTAAAATACATGTCAAGAGTTACAAAACTTATAGCATATCCCTCTTTATATTAGTCTGAACACTCACCCGACGAACCATAAATCTGCGACGAAGGGACAGGCGTAGGGTTAGTCAGAAGTCGGGCAAACATGCAAAGATAACGTGTGTCGCTTGGTATATTAATATAATATGTCTTATGATATAAATGAAGAGCATTCATAGTTATTTACTTTGACCACAGTTTAGGCATTTTTAATCTATCATCAGAATTTGAAGGTGTAATGTACAAGTTGTTTGGTCAAGACTGGGCAGATATCAAGGAAAAGGTGCATGGAATAATAAATTAAAATATGACACTATCAGGAATAAGGCTAAACATGATGTATTCCTCCATGATTTTCACATACATATCCGGTCTCAACACATGGAAATGTCATCAAAATCATAGCACCTGTTTTGGATGAACTTTTTGCTGACATTTTTAGTGACCTTTAAACAGTAGGCTTCTACACTTACGACTGCACTATGTCGATGAGCGACACTAATCCTAAGTAAATTAATTGTTTTCGAGTCACTCACGATTCCTATCGTGGGTTAGTTCGACAGTCTATCGACGGGGTACGCTAGTATTTCAATTAGAATAAATATAAACGCGTTCACTAAAACAAGGGATTAGTGATTGCAATAACTATATCGAATAATTCAGGGAATAAGATCTCGGTTGTATATTTTGGAGTAAAATACGATACTCGTTTATTTAACAAGGATAATAAATATCTATTACTATGAACACTCGCGAATAGCTGAAACTCGGCGCTGCTTTTATATTTTTAACTAATCTATTTTTAGCGCGCTTATTAATTACTCTCTATTTTCAGTATACGATTGTTCTGCCTCTACTGCTTCTAATAGCAGCAGGTAGACCATATAATGCTAATAAGCCATATGTCTTAGCATCAATACAATCAAATGGAATCCATCCATAAACTCATCGAGTTGGTTATTACCCATCGGATAATTCTTTATATCCACCAATGTCATAATTTTCAGTTTTATCTTGAAAATTGGAAAAAGTTAGCCATAATTCTTGAAAATAATTATTGAATATAAAATTATAAAATATACCTTTATATACAATATTTGGATGACTGCCCATATTCTTGTGGTTCTTAAGCTAATGCATTGATAAATTGTTCAAAGTTTTATTTTAGTTATATGAATTTTGGTAAGAGATGCCAAAGACCATATAATGTACATAAAATCTGCAACAAACCTCTTTAACAAATTTCTCATACAACTTCTCCTCATAGTTACCTTCATCGGGGAAAACAATATTTTTATGGCCATGTTTTTTCTAGAATGTCTTATTATGCCCGTATGTATCGCAGCATATGCACCACGAGTAAAAGCAAAGGGGTTTATACTAATACTTGTTCAGAGATACAGCAAGGTGTCTGAGGACAGTGGCTTAGAGGATTAGCAATAACTGCTAAAATAGTCCGCCCGAAAGAATGTAAGTAGCGTAGATTTCAGTAAGATTGAAGGTCCGACCCATAATGAACCAACAACATCCAGGTACTGTCCTCGTGTTCTCCCACCAATTAGCTCCAAATGTTCCATTAAGCATGCATTCCCATGTGTCTTCGTGCTACGATATTTCTTTGGATTACTGCAACCTGCCGAGCAAGGAGGAAGGAAATCATATATTGGAATAACATTCCCTTTTCATGCTCTTCTCATGCTAACAACGTAAAAACTCTGCTGTTCCCCATGCAATTATCCTCGTACAGTTGACAAGGAAAGATTAAAAGTAAATTTAGGAACAGGTGGCGAATAGCTGAAAAAAGTAGGAAAGAATTAACACAGACGAGAGGTTAGCAAGGAAGTTAGTATTACAATCCCACATATTCAAACTTATACATAAATATTCACCTACTTTGATACAGGGAATTGGCAACTCGTATCCTATTGGTATAGGTAACAAACTTCCTTATCGTTACTTTGAATTAATATCGGTAACAATGGCGGCAGCGGTAGTATTCACGCGGATTTGATTGTCCTTCTTGGTTATCAGTATCATCCTGGTCTTTACTATGTCGCTTTGTCTTCTGCTACGATATATTGTGTCATCTAAATAGATAATTAGATTATAAATGACAGAATAATCACCTGTGCGGGCAAAGAAACTATAACGCTACTCAACCAACCTTATCTTGTTCTGCTCGTTGTATACTCTGATGCTTTCTTCTCCGTGCTATTTCAGATTACCGCAATGCAATCTCCTCTTCTGTCAGGTGCTTTTTTTTTTTCGTGTTGATTCTGCTTATAAATCAAACAGTTAGCTTTGCTATAGATGGATAAGGAAGGAGTGAAAACGATGACACGAAAATTATTCTCACCCATCGGTAGTTGAAGCAAGTCAGGTTGATAATTCTCATTCAATCTGGTCCTTTGTCGCTTTGTCATTATTCGATTGCTGGCGATAGGTGTCGATGAAGAGGAGTCACCAGGACTGTACTTATCATCATTGTAACTAAAGTTAGATCAAAAGTTATTCAAAGAAAACACATTCTACTGCCAATTACCAACCTGCCTATGGATCAGAAAGCAGTTTCCTTACCGTAAGAATGACATGCGCCTGGAATTTCATTGTCGTTATTAAATTATGACTTGTAATCTTCATAATCATCATTATCTGGTAAATATGTCCAGTACCATGAAACACGACATGAATATAAGCAGAGACGCGACAAATGCCACGACGATATTAGGCAACTAGCCATTAACCCCTCTATCGAATAAAAGTAATTTGTCAGTGAGCAAGAGTAATGTATCAATTAAATGGTAAATTAGATATTAGTTTATGACGCATATTACCAAAGAACAAGCCCAACGCGTGATACGAATGGGTACCAGGAAAATCCAAATTCACAGCTGCTTGAATTGCGCCCGAGCGCAAGAGTAAATAAAGGTGAACCTATCATGTCTGAGGAACCGATTCTTCTGTTGTATCAGCTGATTAGACTTTGATTCTCTAGACGTTCTATTCCGAGATTCTACCCCGTTCATGTCCTCATTGTCAGGTAGTTCATCTTCATCTGCCATGTCCACGACTTCGTCCTCTTGATCTCCCGTCGTCCTCTTGGTATTCCGTCGTCCTGTTGGACTTCTAGGTAGTCTTGGTAAGGGAGGTAAATTACCTCCCAATATATTGCCAAATTTGAAAAAATACCTACTAAATATGGTAGGGGAGTACTGATGAGAAAAAGTTAAGCATTACACACGGATCGGTGTTTACTCTCTCCGTACTTGAACACTTAACAATGTCATTAGTTCCAGGTGTTAAAAATCCAGCAATTGACGACCTCATTCAATCCTCGGAAAGTGAAAATGAATACGCTAAAAGACTTGAATGGATTCATTACGAAATCACCGACATAAAACCAACTCAAATTGACCATGTCTACAACGCTATTCGCAAGCGAATGGGTGGTTATAAAACGACGATAATACTTTCACTACTTGGAAATGATGAGATATGTACGCCGACATTTGTGAGTGAGTTTGCCAGAATATACTCACTTCCAACACGCGAGTATAACAACGACGTTAATCAGTTCAGAAGATACAAAAGATGGCTCGAAGAGCGCAACAGACTCATCATTGGATTTACCAAGTACGAAGATAATTATTACATGGTTGCTCACAAACGCTTTTATTATTGTTATTCTCGATATGGATTCTGCCCTGCATGTGGAATACTCCGATGCAGTCCCGTGTGGTGTGTGTGTGGATATAAAGAATTATCCGATGGATGGACTAGCAACAATAAGCAACTCGATGAGTTTATTAA